AAAAAAAATAATGAAGTTTAAAAAGAAGAGTGGATATATAAAATTGAATAAAAAAATAATGAAGTTTAAAAAGAATGATAAATATATAAAACTGAATAAGAAAAATAAAAAAGTTTAAAAAAGAGAGTGGATATATAAAATTGAATAAAAAAAAATAATGAAGTTTAAAAAGAAGAGTGAATATATAAAATTGAATAAAAAAATAATGAAGTTTAAAAAGAAGGGTGAATATATAAAATTGAATAAAAAAAATAATGAAGTTTAAAAAGAATGATAAATATATAAAAACTGAATAAGAAAAAAAAAAAAAGTTTAAAAAGAAGGTGAATATATAAAATTGGATGAGAAAAAATAATGAAGTTTAAAAAAGAAGGTGAATATATAAAATTGGATAAAAAAAATAATGAAGTTTAAAAAGAATGAATAATATATAAAATTGAATAAGAAAAATAAAAAGTTTAAAAAAAGGGTGAATATATAAAATTGGATGAGAAAAAATAATGAAGTTTAAAAAAGAAGGGAATATATAAAATAGAATGAAGAAAAATAATGAAGTTTAAAAAAAAGGGTGAATATATAAAATTGAATGAGAAAAATAATGAAGTTTAAAAAGAAGGGTGAATATATAAAAATTGAATAAGAAAAATAATGAAGTTTAAAAAGAAGGGTGAATATATAAAATTGGATAAGAAAAATAATGAAGTTTAAAAAAAGGGTGAATATATAAAATTGGATGAGAAAAATAATGAAGATTAAAAAAAAAGGGTGAATATATAAAATTGGATGAGAAAAATAATGAAGTTTAAAAAGAAGGGTGAATATATAAAATTGGATGAGAAAAAATAATGAAGTTTAAAAAGAAGGTGAATATATAAAATTGAATGAAAAAATAATGAAGTTTAAAAAAGAATGGTAAATATATAAAATTGAATAAGAAAAATAAAAAGTTTAAAAGAAGGTGAATATATAAAATTGGATAAGAAAATAATGAAGTTTAAAAAGAAGGGTGAATATATAAATTGGATGAGAAAAATAATGAAGTTTAAAAAAGAAGGGGAATATATAAAATTGAATGAGAAAAATAATGAAGTTTAAAAAGAAGGGTGAATATATAAAATTGAATAAGAAAATAATGAAGATTAAAAAGAAGGTGAATATATAAAATTGAATAAGAAAATAATGAAGATTAAAAAGAAGGGTGAATATATAAAATTGATAAGAAAAATAATGAAGTTTAAAAAGAAGGGAATATATAAAATTGAATAAAAAAAATAATGAAGTTTAAAAAGAATGATAAATATATAAAATTGAATAAGAAAAAAATGAAAAGTTTAAAAAGGAGAGTGAATATATAAAATTGGATAAGAAAAATAATGAAGTTTAAAAAGAAGAGTGAATATATAAAATTGGATGAGAAAAATAATGAAGTTTAAAAAGAAGGGTGAATATATAAAATTGATGAGAAAAATAATGAAGTTTAAAAAGAAGGGTGAATATATAAAATTGGATGAGAAAAATAATGAAGTTTAAAAAGAAGGGTGAATATATAAAATTGAATGAGAAAAATAATGAAGTTTAAAAAGAAGGGTGAATATATAAAATTGGATAAGAAAAATAATGAAGTTTAAAAAGAAGGGTGAATTTATAAAATTGAATAAGAAAAATAATGAAGATTAAAAAGAAGGGTGAATATATAAAATTGAATAAGAAAAATAATGAAGATTAAAAAGAAGGGTGAATATATAAAATTGGATGAGAAAAATAATGAAGTTTAAAAAGAAGATTGGATATATAAAATTGAATAAAAAAATAATGAAGTTTAAAAAGAATGATAAATATATAAAACTGAATAAGAAAAATAAAAAGTTTAAAAAGGAGAGTGGATATATAAAATTGGATGAGAAAAATAATGAAGTTTAAAAAGAAGGGTGAATATATAAAATTGGATGAGAAAAATAATGAAGTTTAAAAAGAAGGGTGAATATATAAAATTGGATGAGAAAAATAATGAAGTTTAAAAAGAAGGGTGAATATATAAAATTGAATAAAAAAATAATGAAGTTTAAAAAAAAGGGGTAAATATATAAAATTGGATAAGAAAAATAATGAAGATTAAAAAGAAGGGTGAATATATAAAATTGAATAAAAAAAATAATGAAGTTTAAAAGAATGATAAATATATAAAATGAATAAGAAAAATAAAAAAGTTTAAAAGAAGAGGTGGATATATAAAATTGGATAAGAAAAATAATGAAGTTTAAAAAGAAGAGTGAATATATAAAATTGGATGAGAAAAATAATGAAGTTTAAAAAGAAGGGTGAATATATAAAATTGGATGAGAAAAATAATGAAGTTTAAAAAGAAGGGTGAATATATAAAATTGGATGAGAAAAATAATGAAGTTTAAAAAGAAGGGTGAATATATAAAATTGGATGAGAAAAATAATGAAGTTTAAAAGAGAAGGTGAATATATAAAATTGATAAGAAAAAATAATGAAGTTTAAAAAGAAGGGTGAATTTATAAAAATTGAATAAGAAAAAATAATGAAGATTAAAAAGAAGGGTGAATATATAAAATTGGATGAGAAAATAATGAAGTTTAAAAAGAAGGGTGAATATATCAAATTGGATGAGAAAAATAATGAAGTTTAAAAAGAAGAGTGGATATATAAAATTGAATAAAAAAAAATGAAGTTTAAAAAGAATGATAAATATATAAAACTGAATAAGAAAAATAAAAAGTTTAAAAAGGAGAGTGGATATATAAAATTGGATGAGAAAAATAATGAAGTTTAAAAAGAAGGGTGAATATATAAAATTGGATGAGAAAAATAATGAAGTTTAAAAAGAAGGGTGAATATATAAAATTGGATGAGAAAAATAATGAAGTTTAAAAAGAAGGGTGAATATATAAAATTGGATAAGAAAAATAATGAAGTTTAAAAAGAAGGGTGAATTTATAAAATTGAATAAGAAAAATAATGAAGATTAAAAAGAAGGGTGAATATATAAAATTGGATGAGAAAAATAATGAAGTTTAAAAAGAAGGGTGAATATATAAAATTGGATAAGAAAAATAATGAAGTTTAAAAAGAAGAGTGGATATATAAAATTGAATAAAAAAATAATGAAGTTTAAAAAGAATGATAAATATATAAAACTGAATAAGAAAAATAAAAAGTTTAAAAAGGAGAGTGGATATATAAAATTGGATGAGAAAAATAATGAAGTTTAAAAAGAAGGTGAATATATAAAATTGGATGAGAAAAAAAAATGAAGTTTAAAAAGAAGGGTGAATATATAAAATTGGATGAGAAAAATAATGAAGTTTAAAAAGAAGGTGAATATATAAAATTGGATGAGAAAAATAATGAAGTTTAAAAAAGAAGGGTGAATATATAAAAATTGAATAAAAAAATTATGAAGTTTAAAAAGAAGGTGAATATATAAAATTGAATAAAAAAAATAATGAAGTTTAAAAAAGAAAGGGTGAATATATAAAATTGAATAAAAAAAAATAATGAAGTTTAAAAAGAAGAGTGATATATAAAATTGAATAAAAAAATAATGAAGTTTAAAAAGAATGATAAATATATAAAACTGAATAAGAAAAAAAAAAAAAGTTTAAAAAAGGGTGATATATAAAATTGGATGAGAAAAATAATGAAGTTTAAAAAAAGAAGAGTGAATATATAAAATTGATGAGAAAAATAATGAAGTTTAAAAAGAAGGGTGAATATAAAAATTGATGAGAAAAATAATGAAGTTTAAAAAGAAGGGTGAATATATCAAATTGATGAGAAAAAAATAATGAAGTTTAAAAAGAAGGTGAATATATAAAATTGAATAAAAAATAATGAAGTTTAAAAGAAGGGTGAATATATAAAATTGAATAAAAAAAAATAATGAAGTTTAAAAAGAAGGGTGAATATATAAAATTGAATAAAAAAAAATAATGAAGTTTAAAAAGAAGAGTGGATATATAAAATTGAATAAAAAATAATGAAGTTTAAAAAGAAGGGTGAATATATAAAATTGAATGAAAAAAATAATGAAGTTTAAAAAGAAGAGTGAATATATAAAATTGAATAAAAAAAATAATGAAGTTTAAAAAAGAAGGGTGAATATATAAAATTGAATAAAAAAATAATGAAGTTTAAAAAGAAGGGTAATATAAAAATTGAATAAAAAAAAAATAATGAAGTTTAAAAAGAAGGGTGAATATATAAAATTGGATAAGAAAAATAATGAAGCAAAGACATAAAAGAGGGCTTTTCCTCTCGCTGCGCATATACCAATCATTGCTTTCGGCCTATCTATGTTTGTACGCAGACGCCTGTACCAGCATTATAGTACTCAAGCGACATTCAAATGATTTGTTTTTACGTCATTCGGTATTTATTAGGTGAGTTGTTTAATGCTACATTATATATGTGGCACTTAGTGAGGATCAAAAATTTACTACTAGCGCTTAGCGAAACTAGTAGCCCTAACCATTACCCTATACATAGGTACGGGATCTTAAATGCCTTCAGCTGCTCCCCAATCATTTGTCACGAGTCAGAAGTTATGAACCTAGAGCTTTTATGGACTGTTAACTATCGTATGCCCGCACCAAAATCCTAAGAAAACAGTTCATTGTTTCTATCCCTAAAACTGAATCATTATTTTATTATTTTTTTTTTTTATTTTATAAATATTTATTTACAAATTATATCTGTGTATAATACGCCGGTCCGTCTTGTATGGGAAGAAATGCAGCATAATTCAGTCAGATCTTTGCATGAATAAATTTGCATGGAATGTGACTGTTTAACTATAATTATACGTTTTGTCGATATTGATCGATATGATGGTATTAATATTTTGAATCCTTAGCTAAACTTATCTGCTGCTTTTTGACCTGCAAGTCTTCATCCGGGGAAATTTTTGAAGCGCTCGTGCATATCAATTCAAAAACTGACGGGAAAATTCCCTCGTTTGAAATATAAAGATTACCAACTGTCAACTGGTTTGACACGACGGACCGCGACCGAACACACGCGACGTTAAAAAGTTCCACTTGAGAAAGTTCCACTGTCTCCCTGAATACTGGAATTTCCTGATCACAGCGATAACGCCACATTGAGAAATGAAGGGTTTTTTATTTGTTTGTTTTTTCATATGTCGATGTGTACGTATTTAGAGCCAAGCGCGTGACACCGGATAAACCCTGACACTGCCATGCGGATGAAAAACATCACATGCCCAGAGCAAAGTGAAATGAGAACTGCTTTGTATATAGCGTCTGTGTATCAAACAACGTTGTGATTTTTGACCAGACTTCACCTAAGGTAAAGCTCAAGAGCCGCTCAAGGTAGAGGGTTACTGAAAGTCTTCTGGTATGTGAAGATAAGAGAAAAAAGTCGGAAGTGGACATTTTGATGATATGGATTTATTGATTTGTTTAACGGCATATCAACTACTTATGGGTCATTTACTACCCAAATTTAATTTACTTGGACACTTTGAAGCAATAAAATATATGTTATTCTGCCATCACAATTGAGTACATGGTAGATGATACTCTGATTTTGTGTATATATGGATATATGATGTCATAATTACTAGAGCAGTCATATGGGTGTTTATGTTGTTGTTTTGCTGATGATATATTTTGGAATACAGTTTAATTTAAACAATTAAGGATATTATATGGATTAATGTCATGAAAGTGTTCTTTCATGTTTGTTGATTTAATTTTGTTGAGCGGCATCTCAATCTCAATGAGTTTAATGCCGAAATCTAAATATCTTGAACGATATTTTATACCTTTAACCACATATAAATATATTGTTGGTCATTTTGTTATAAATAGATATAGTTCGTCAATTTATTAAATATATAAAATGTATTGTTAGTATTTTCACCATAAAAATGTATTTTATACTTCCATGGCGATTTTATTTTAGTGGGCGTTTACTATTTTCCTATATCTGAGTCCCGAAAAGTTACTACCACCCAGGGTCAAGGTGGACCTGGGACTAACAGCAATGGAAAGGTGATTCGACGCTTTCAAAACCTCCAATCTCCCAATCAGAGGTTTTACTGGCGGATATAGTTCATAATCATACCCAGGACGAAGATATGGAGGATAGATAAGATGGACTTGACGAGTTTAAGATTGAAGTTTACAGGGAGGCGTCCTGCTGAGGTCGGCTCCACTTAGTAGCGGTTCTTGGGGAGCAATACGCCATTTTGGTCTCAGTAGAACTTCTTCCTTACCAATGGAATACGGCTGGATTCAGATCTTGACTGTAAAGGTATGAAATCTTGGTTCTGAAGAACAGAGTTTGTCTGAATGAATCTTAAAGAAAAAAGTCACATCTTACCAAAAGAAAGTCATAAAGGAACTTTTGTTTCTTATTACTTGGAGAAGACTAATTTTATGTTTTTATTGACTTGGTTGATTTTGCTTAGCGGTACATAAACACCTCTATGGGTTATTTAATGCCGAAATCTAAATATTTTGTACGTCATTTTATGGCTTCATCTCCAGATATTTTGTATGTAATTTTATACTTTCAATATAAAGGTATATTTTTAAGGTATGTATTTTGTAGGTCTCGTACGAAGAGTGAGAAGGACTAAGCATAAACTACAACAAAACAGAATGCATGGACACCAGTAAGAGGAAGAGCCCGATATACGATTTGAAGGAAGGGGACACTTGAATCAAGCAGACGCGGAACTGTAAATATCTGGGAAGCGTCTTGACAGAGGATGCATTTGCGACACCGGGATCCGTAGAGGTTTTGGGATGGCCAAATACACATTCAAAAAGCTGGGCAGAGTACTGCGAGTCATGAGGATTTCTTTGGTAACAATAAAAGAATACTGAGCTATTACCTGGCATCTGTCCGTCTTACGTACGGATAATTTCCTCAAAGATAAAGAAGAGACTCGAAGCGACAGAGATGTGGTTCTAGAGAAGGATGCTAAGGATACCATGGACAGAGCGTATGAGCTACGAAGAGGATGCCAACTAGGAGGAAACTCCTGCTTAATATCAGGAAGAGGCAGCTGAAGTTTCTGAGATACATAATGAGGAAAGAAGGCCTGGAGGATCTGATACTCACGGGTCGAATAGAGGGAAAGAGAGACAAGGGAAAACAACGCTTGACATATCTGGCGGACTTAACCAAGTGGATGACAGAACGCGGTCTTGGGGAGGAAGCAGAGGAAAGGAACTTATTGAGAGCTGCAAGGGATAGAGGGAGGTGGAGAGCCATGATCGCCTACGTCCTGAAATGGCATGGCACATAAAGAGAAAGAAGGTCATAAAATGTATTTTTGGTTAATTTTACTATAAAATTGTACTGTTGATTTTTGTTTGGGGGTTAACTTTGTGCCCACAGCTGGGACCCTAACAGGTGCTACCAGCCTGGACTAGAGACCTGTGAACAACAGGGGTGGTTCCACGCTGCTCAAAACGTTCAAAATCCCGATTAGAGGCCTTGCTACCGAATGTAGTTTATGGTCATATTCAGGAAGAGAAGATAACACAAAATAATTATTATAGCGTTTATTAAAGAAAAGGTAGAAGGATGTGAAGATGATGACGATAAGGAGGATAGACAAAAATTAATCTCTTGATTTGACGAGTGTTTGAAAGTGATGTTCAGGGAGGAATATCAGAGAAAGTTTCACCTTACAATAGGAATACCAGTGTAAATGTATGTGAATGTATTCGTGTACGTAACCTGGAGAGTCTGCGTTATAATGATCTGAGCTGATGGGATTATTGAATGGAACTCATTTCAACATTTATCATGGAAAGAGCAATAGATTAACCATAGCCACGTGACGTTGCGTCTATAAGAAAGAGGCCGTAGGGTTGTAAATGGCCGCGTAAACAACTCTTTCATGGCCCGGAACTCATGATTGAATATTTCTAGGTCCAGTTATGGAAGCAACGGGCCATTTTCGCCTAATCTAACTCATGTAAAGCTAAAACAAGATCGAAGTAATCAAATTTAATTCTAATCTCTTTGTCATTGTTGCCTGTCACGCAAAAATTAAATATTCTGTTTTAAGACCTAAACCTTGGAAATGACAAATTTTCTCGAGCTGTGGATCGGACGAAATATGACTCATCATAAATCTCATCATGAGACCAATCGTGCACACTTTTAAAAATGTCGAGCTATTTCTTCGTTGAAGCTACCTCAATTATTTTTACGATACAGTAGACTATAAGCGCAACCCTTTACCTTAACAAAAGTGTAAATGTGATTTTTTTTTCATTCGGAGACATTTTTTTCTATAATTGTAAAATTAAATTCTGATGACAATATAATTAACACACGATTTTGAAATTATTCATTTGATTTTACAAAAATGATTTTAAAAGAAAAAAAAATAATCACTTCACCCCAAGCAAGGGGGTAATGTAAATATAATGGAGGCGTTTACAGGGAGTGAAGGAGAATACTGAGAATAGGGAGGACTGAGTGATGGACAAATAATGAACAGAGATCAAGAAAATAGAACATAGCGATTATCATTGCATTTAAATTTCTTAAGATTTTACTTAGGGAAGCATAGAATTCCACAGATCGGAAGTGCGAGAATAGAAACTGTTGGAGTAGAACTGGCTAAAATTCGTATTTATTGATTGCATTGATTCGTTTTCTGCGACTTATGAACCCTTTGCAGGTTATTTAAAGAAATAAAATATTCTTAGATTGTAATAGATTGTTATTTTTTTTTTTTTTAAGATAATAGTGATTTTGTGATATAATTTTTACTAATTAACCCATAGCTGGGGGAGAACAGGTGGATCCATACCGTCCCCATTGACTTTTGCGCGTGAATAAAACGAATCCGACTGGAATTGGAAGCCGGCTCTCTGATTAACAGTTTGGAGCCATTATCCACAACACCATCCCCACACACAAGCTTAAGCATCTGATATTCTCAAGCCGTCACCCATCTAGATACTGACCAGGCTCGACGTTGTTTAACTTCGATGTACGGTACCGGTGTTTCAACGTGATATAACCGTAAACTTATAGATTTTCAACATATTTCAGTGGGATTTTCAGTTCGTAAAATCATATTTTAGAATTAGTTTTCGTTATATGAAAAAAGGGGTCAGCTTACACTTAATTAAAAGGAGAATTAATTCAACAAAAAGATTGTTGAATGTGATATTTATGTCATTTATTCTTGGATATTCCAGCAAGAACACAAAAAACAAGGAATCTATCGTTAATATGCGCGTTACTTGAAGGAATTAGTTAAGCAGTACATCATGTAAAATAGGGTGAGTACGTTGCTGATTTAAAGCCATCCACAGGTATTATGTAGAATAGGGCAGGTTGATTTTCCCTTTTGTTGAAAATCAATATTGCACTCGACGTGAATGCTGGAATTAAGTCAGCAAGAAGATAGTCGAATGATAAGATTATACATTTATTTTAGAAAATTTCTCGGTATTTTTCTTTGAGAATAATCCATTTTCGTTTCAAAGATCTTAATTAAGTAGTAAATATTAATCTCATATTCTAAGGAATAGTTTAGATTCAAATCCAGCTTACGATGATGTAGTCTTATATTTTGCAGATGCTGTGTTAAAAGGGAGTAACTAACCTGGTAGAATGGGTTCATTCTTCAAAAACATGATCGTCCTCATCACTGTTTTTCAATATCCTTTCATCTTATTAAATGTTTGGAAACTTCGTGTCTAAGATTTCAAAAGGTGTTCTTCAGTTGCATTCTAAACATCAGATATTTTCAGGGAAAACTTTAGAAACATCGTCGTTGATAAAAAAAAGAGGATTATGTTAAAAATTTGATCTGTATATACTTGAATAATTTGAGTAGGTGATATTTATGACATTCATTCTTAGAGAATCCTGCAAGGACACAAAAAACAAGGGATTTATTGGTAATATGTGCGTTACTTGAAGGAATTGGTTAAGCAGTACTTTATGTAAAATGGTATGAGCACGTTGCTGATTTAAAGCCACCCACAGAACAGGGCAGGTTAATTTTCCCTTTTTTAGAAAATCAATATTGCATGCGATGTGAACGCTGGAGTTTTCTGTGCTAAGTACTGTCACAAAAACTTAGACTCATTGC